TATATGGTTCGTATTAAATAAAATCAAATCAAATATTTTTAAATAATATATTTAATTTTTTTTTTATGTTTCCCATATATATATATGAAAAATAAAACTAAAAGATTTTAAAATAAATATAAAAAAAATCATTTAATAATTGTAATGTAATTTTAGTTCAAGTCTAAATTTAAGAAACTCAAATACAACTATATTAAGAACATGCATATTGCTAATAAGTTTTGTTCTAATTAATTCTTAACAATAGTTCACAACATTGATTTGATTCTAAAAATAAAAAAATAAAAAATAAAAGAAGGGTGTCCAACTAGCATAACCGCCATGTGGACACCCCTTTTATTTTTCTTCTTTGTTCAAATTTTGCATCACTAATATTCATGTGTTATGGATTGTTGTTTATTATTGTTGTTGTTTTTATACTTTTGAGCCTCATTAGTATCTAACTAGTAAAAAAAACTTGTAGCAATGGTGTATGGTTGATGTGGCACAAGAAAGAGTCCATAATATAAAAAACAGAGTGTTTATTTAGAGGTTTTCTTTATTTATCTATAATCTTTAATTAATTTTAAATTTTAATTTAAAATTAATTATATTTTAAGCTTGATATAAAATACATTTGAAAAAAAATTAAGTTAGTATATTGTATTAGTAAAGAATTATTAAATACATGTACTTCAATTTTATAAGAGATTTATAGTTTTAAATATTCTATTAATAAAAAACTTGAATTTTGATACTCTGATGCAATATAATAAATCTTAAAGATGAAAAATAAAACTTTAAATTTAACATTATACAAAAATTTGATAAAATAAAATAAAAAACCATTATCATCTTCTATGTTAATTTTAAATAGAAAAATACAATATATATATATATATATATATATATATATATATATGCTTTTAAACCTATAATATTTAAATGAATTTAGTTTATTCATTTTTAGGTTCAAGAAATGAAGCATATTTTACTTGTTAAAATGCAATAGAAAATAAAAATATGTGATGATAGCAAATTGAGCCATATATAATTTATATACATATTGAAATTCTTTCTATTCTGATAAAATATATTTCTATTCTGATAAATTAATAATATTTCATTAATGCTCTATCTCATAATAACATAATTTTATGATCAACTCGTACATGTTATATTTTATGTTTTGACATTTTAAAACATATTTACAGACTGAAGTAGTTTAATGATAATATAAATTATTAAAGAAATGTTAAAGTCGAAAGATGAAATTATAACTTTGATTAGAATATTATCTAGTATATTATTTTTGAAATATATAGACTGACATTAAGCATGCAATTACGAATTTTTGTATTACATCACATTAATATGTAAAAAAATATAGTTCTCAATGATCAAAGTAATTTATTAAGATATATTTTGAACTGTTGAGCATTTCTAATTATACGTCCTCAAGTATACAAACAATTTACCGTTTTTTCCAATTAGTAATATGTATTAATAAAAAAATTACTGTGAGAGTCCAATCTGAATTCTAACATTCAAATTACAACTTTATAATCAACATATAGTTATAGTTAACAGCACATCAATAGAATAGCAAAAAAAAAAAAAAAATGATATCATGATTTGAATCTATTGAAATTTCATTTCGTTCAAAAGATAAATAAAATAGAAAGTAATATTAAAATTTTAGTTGCATGATTTTGGACTTTATTGGTGACTATTGAATGATAAATTCAAAGGAATAAAAAACAAGCAACTGTGATAGCCAAAAGAACCACAGAATCACATAATTTGAATTTCAAAATGTTTTTAAAAAAATCACTAATGTTTTTCAGATCATTAGTGTTGTAGAAGGTGCCATGATCTGTAGTCTCAAAACTTAGTTTATCCTTTAAAACAATAGATTGAAGCGGTTTTAAATCACAGTGCTCAATTAATGGCCTTGTGATTGGAGGTGATTGTGGAAGGGAAAAACAGAAGATCATTGATTGACTTAAACGCCCACATTAAAACACATTCTTACTATGATTAGTATGGTTATTATGATTTTACTGCATGTGTTTTTACATCTTGGTAATTTAGTCCTTTCTCTGCTTTGAATGAATGAAAACATGTTTGACTTAATGCAATCAAAATAAAAGAATAAACAAATTTTAAAAATGTTGGATTTGGTGGAATTACAAAACCTCTTTCATGTTTTGATATATATATATATATATATAGAGAGAGAGAGAGAGAGAGAGAGAGAGAGAGAGATGGATTGGGAATAAGAAATTTCAATTTTACCAGCAGATGTTCATCTTTGTTTATTTATCAGCTTACATTAAACATTAACAAGCACAATGAAACAGAAGTGAGATTTGTAAGAATTGGGCATTTGTATGCACATTTGTCATGTGGGTCACAACAACTTAACAATCTGCCCTTTTTTGAATACAAATAATAAATAATTATCATACTGTCACTCACCTGTTTTAGTTCTATATCATCTGTCATCCACACATCTCTTGTTCCCATAGCACAAAACACACAGAGCCTTCACAACTGATCTAATAGGCTTCACTGTGTGTATTTCTTTTTTGCATTGTGTGTGTCTGGAGCATTCAACAAAGTGTGTGTTTTGTTTGTGCAGTGCTACATCTTCCTCCACTGTAACTATTCTTCAATGTAATAATTCAATGGAATTGAATTGAATTGTATTGTATTTCCATATGCAATTATTTACACATTCACTCTCCCAAGTAGAGATCATCATCAATAAGAATTCCATATTGCAGCAGGGAACAAGGAGATCTGGCTGTCAGTACTTGCCTCCCCCCCCCCCAAGTAAGTATAACAACACAGTCTTCTTTCAATTTCTCCATCAATTCTAGTTCCTGTACAGCCAGGGCTCCTCTCGGTACAGGGCTTGACTTTGGGAGCGACCTCCAAGACCAGCCCAGTTGTGTTTGTGTGTGTGTGTAAGTATTTTTTTTTCCACGTTCCAAAAAAGTAAAAAATAAAAGTAAAAGTAATCTGGGCTCAACACAAACCAACACACAGAGGGCCATGGTCACCCGCCGGTGTGAACGCGACCTTCGTTATCAGGATCAGCGGATTTCACTTGATCATTAGGTCCGAAGCACCCACCCCCACCAACTTCTTGTACCAGGGATGAAACGAGTGGGATGAATGAGAAATGGATCCCGGAGGGGAGGGGCAGTGAGGATGAAGGACTGTGACAGAGGGGGAAGATCATATGCTGACATCATCATCATCCTTCTCGAGAAGCTCAATCGTCTACGTGGCATTGACTACTTGTCCTGCTTGCTTTGATGATTAAACTAATTGTTTTTGTACCCAATAATTTTACGATTTGGCATTAAATAAGTACGCTACGTTAATAATAATAAAAAAATTCCCAACTATATTCAGAAAGTATAATGTCAAAGTTAAATAATACACCATTGATTTAAAATATAACTATAACTCTCTCTCTCTCTATATATATATAAATATCGTATACTGTTGCAAGAGACGGGACGTTGGTACTGTAATAAATTCTATAAACTTATCAACTTCTGATAAAAATAAATAAATAAAATGCTAGACATTAATAATCATTGAACTAATCAAAGATTTTTTTGATTATTTTGAAGATTTTAAGATCAACAATACAAAATTATTAGCATCGCAAACTAATACCGTTACTGTGATTATATTGCATAATAGGTGTGGAATTGGTGACAAAGTTTGTTAGCCTTAATAAAACCATAATTGTGTAGATGGGATTGAATTTGTTTCCCTTTTTATTACTGGGTTTGATGAATTTGTTATAGAAAATTAGTAAAATTTACGTTTAGGAATGTGCAACGAATGTTAAAAGGTAGGTTAAGAAAAAAAAAAAAAAAAAAAAAAAACAACTAAAAGAACATTGAAGTAACCCGTCATATTCCGTGGCAAAGCACATTTGAAGTGAACGTTTTGGACAATTGCTTATTTTGTTATCACGTAAAAATTAGTTGAGTTTAAGATACACTAATTATACAAATAAAACTTATGAAACTTTGATTAGATTGAATAATCTTATTCTTGGAAGTTAGAGTCAAAAGAAACTATTAATAAATACGCTAAATATTAGATGAGGAACACGTTGATTCCACAAACAATTGTATTAATCTACTTTGTGGATTACTCGACCATAAATTTTGACTCATTAATTACATAATGTTTTCCAAAAATTATATATATTTTGACAAACAATGTGCAAAGAGTGTGTGGTTGTGTACAGCATTACAAATTCAATTAAATTTGTTTAGAAATTTTATGTTAGTATACTGTTAAAACCTGTTAGAAACCATATCAGGAAATTGAGAGGTCATTTCTCCCCCATCAAGCATGTTCTACAATACTCACGCGAATATATTTGCAGTACACAATAGTTAAAAAATGGAAAAAAAAAATGAAATGGAAAAAAAATTATAGGATTGTTCGTATTTGATCCTTTTATTTCCTGTCATAGATATTTGTTGGTGGGGTCAAAAATATATTATTTCCAGTATTTCACTTCCGCAAAGCAACAAACACTGGTTCCTCATCCATCGAACAGTTCCAGATGAATATGTTTGTTCGTTCGTTCGTACGGATGAAGCCATCGCGAGGTGAAAGCAAGCAGGGGCACTCATCCACGATACATTCATTAATAATACTTTCATCCATGGATCGTTACACCCAACAGATCTAGATCGAGGAGCCTTGCCGCTCTCGGTGCAGGGTTCTCGGTGCCGCGACCTGAGAATCTGAGCGCGACTGTCGTTTCTCGTGAATCCATCGCGGCAAATCCACTTAGAGCGTAGTAAAATTGAGGGCTCAAGAGCTTCGGTAAAGAGACCAGGATGAAACGGCACACAAATTGGCTTAAAATAGGAGGAGACATGAGGAGTTAGGGCCGTGACGCTCCGGGGAAAGAATAGGAGGCGGCTGGATCGACCTCGGGCCGGACGTCCCGCTTGCAGATGACTGCGCATTGGCAACGCCATGCATAGGAATCCCATCCGTTCGCAAATGCCACCCCTCCCCCCCCTCCCCCCTTTTTATTTCACCATTGTCCGTTTCATCTTGCATGCATTCACGCTGGACTTTAATTGCGTGCCTCCACGATGGGCCGTTCTTTGCATTCAAGTGTACCTGCAATGTCGACGATCGCCTCTCCAATGGTGTGTGCGGACAAATCGAGCACTTAATGAGATCGACACTTGGCTCTGGTATAATAAGTAGTCCCAAAGGCACCATCTGGAATCAGCTTTTCCTCTTGCTTCTGGAGCTGTTTTCCAGGAAACCTTGTTTGTGACTGTTAGTTCTCGCTTAAGTTGGGTTGCAAGCTCTCCTCCTCTCCGTGACCAGATTATTGGTCCATGAGGGGTCTCTGGTGGAACGAGAGTTGGGGTACAGTGGAACCGAAGTCATTCTGTGTAGTCGTAGTGGCATTCACAGCTTTAGTTGGGTGGGTGCATTCACTGCTTCTGCCGAGTGAGGAGAACATCGGGAGAGTCGCCAGTTTCAATTTGTTCTCTCTCCCGCTTGCCGAGGAATGAACAGCATGTGTTGGTGTGGCATCAATTCTCTGGATGCGAGTGCTACGTTTTGTCTGGAAGGGAAGTATTCTTGAGGCATGTGTTATTGGGCCCGCTCAATCAGATGTCTTTTCCAGCAACGGCTGGTATTGTCCTCAGATTGAGCCGCGCCAATATCACATCCTTCCTTGATTGCTTCTGTTTTCTCAACTTAGGCGATTCCTGCTGTTCGTATTGTGTGATGCTAGAAGACTTGTAAATGTCATGTCTCCATATTACAATGCATAGACGATAGAACTCTAAGAAATGCTGAATTTTAAGTTGCACTGACTCATCCTGCGCAGGTGTCGTCCATGACGTTTACTACTTATCTAAATCGTAGCTGTCGAATTGCTGATTTGGTGCCCGGTCCTTTAACTACATATTCGAGCCCTGCCTGGAATGCGTTGCGCTTGGTAGAATGGGCACAGGTACACGGCGCCGCGATGTGGTGGTCAGTTGAAGTTGTGGCCTTGGTTTGGATCCTGTTCTCACTGGCTGATCGTTTGCACGCCGGCCTGGTATATAAGTCGGACTGAGGACCCGCATGGCTACTCCTTCGCCTGAGAGCTCTGGCATGTGACCAGCGCTAAAGATTCTCATCTATTTAGCAGTGAATTTTTTATTGCAGTTAACAGCTCCAAATTACTAGGTGAATGGCGCGACGTGGACAACTGACTAAATGCGAAGACGGCTTGCATGAATTTCGCTTGTACTATCCCAGTGCTGGAAAGAATCTTGTACCTGTACACACTGTGGCAGTCATAACTTGCCTTGTCGGTGAATGTGTCAGATGAATCCTTTAATAACCCGTTCCGCGGAGGCCGGATTCCGTTCTCAGAGTCTGCGCAGGTGGTTTTGCCGTAAACCGGAATCTGGGCAACCCGAAAACCTCAGACACGTGAAAGCGGGCTACTTGCAATGTGATATTCTGGTAATAGTAACATTGTAGACTTGTGAACCGTTATTGTGGTTCATGAACCTCAGTATGCCAAAGAGATGTTTCTATTTTGGGCTGCCGCTGCTCACTAAGTAAAGTATTTCTTGGAGTCAAATATTTCACTGTAAATCCTGATTCTCTGAATGCCAGTGTCCTTCCAATGTGATTACAATCAACTATCTGTGCCTCCGCGACCTTTATTTGCAAATTGGTTTTATCCCAGCTTTGTTTTGAATCTTGCTTTACTGAGAGTAACGGAACATTAGTCTGCACGTTCTCCTGTTAATTCCATTTTCAGCACGTCTTTGAATGGTGGGCTACTTCTCAGCCTCACTTTTCTCTTAGCCCATACCTATGCCAGACTGCACACAATTGAAATTTCATAGCTAATAAATCCTCTCACATCCTCTCAGTTTCACGTTGACCGTTTTTGAATTTCTAATTCTGTACCCATTTCTTGGCTTGTCCAATAACGATGATAGTTTCATTTCATTTGATGCGTCCGTGACGCAGTAAAAACCATGACAATCAACATCTGACTTGGATTCTTTTGCCTTCCCATCTACCTCCTACTTCTACAATTTTATCACTTAAGCACGTAAGCATCAGTGTAACTACTTTGCTCTGTTTCTTCTAAACTGTAACTTTCTCTGTTTGAACAGTTTTAACATGTTTCTTCGCTTTATCTTTCAGATCAAACTATGTTCTAATACGTCACCTAATAAATCTCACTTTCATATTCCTAATTACTATGTTTAACCTATCAGGATTACGGCATTTGCATATTAAGCTTGGACAAATCAGGTAAACAAAATCACGCTACTTATGCATGTCATTATATACAACATCAATCTGTCAGCTAAAGAAAATGTGCGAAAAAAAAAACGAACTCTATATTTAACTTAACAGCCGACAAATGTGACATCTCGATATGGTACACTCACGTTGCCATTCAACAGCACTGGTCACCTAAGCAAAGTGGTCCAAATTTGTATCCATTTCAAAACTATGCCGGAATGGTATCTTCCGCAAAGCCAAAACAACAATTGCATGTAATATTCGATTGAATCGTAGCGTTCTACTCCCTCCAAAACTAATGATATTTTATTATACATTGGGAAAATTGTTAACGCAACCCTAATTGATATACTTCACCAATTGATACATCCTCACACTCACACCTCATGACCTCCCCTCATACACAACTAAGTAATAATATGTCTTCTTTTTCGCTTATTTTTTCTTGTCTTTGATAGAAAGTGTGGTGGTTGAGGTGGAGATAGTGAATATTCTATGAGAACAAGCTGTGAGTTTTTTTTTGAAAAAATACATTATTTGCCTAAAAATTTGTTTAATTCAAAATTACATTTTTAAATAATTGGCTACCAATATATACATATATATCTATATATATATATGGGTCCATATTGGAGTTAAATATTTGACTACCAAACAAGCTCTAAGCATAGTAGTGTTCTTTTTAATCAATTTAAGTTGAGTGGAAGTCACATGTGGTATGACAATGTCAATTATAGATGTAGCATTAACAATTTTCTAATTTGGATATATCATGTAGAAATTATTTCCCAATTGTTACCATCACACATAGTGTTATTGTTGCATGTTTACTAATTCTTTACTGAATTTCATCATATCAACTTTTATTCCAGCATAATGTGTAAATGCAATACAATTACAATATTTTGTGTGTGTGTGTGTTTGTACACACAAACGTCCACTATACCCATCTACATATCAAAATACTGGGTGATTGCTTTCATAATTGCTACATACTATCTCTAGAACATTGTATCACATTTTTTTCTTAACCAAAATATCAATATAAACATTCTTCTTAATTAACACATGCCCAATGATTGGCCTGATCATTTGAGATTGTTTTGCTTTTTTTTTTTGTGGCTTGATAGATGGAAGATAGTGAAAGATTAATATAGAGTAAATAGGCAGGTAGTCAAAATATGGTACAAAATGGTAAGAGCAAAGATGGATTAATTTAAAATATATCTCAATCAATTCAATATTCTCCTTTATTTATATACACAGGTAAACATGAATATTTTAATTTAATTTTATTTAAAATATGAAATATGTAAATTTCTCACATTTTACATTTCTTTCGTAGAATATGCAGTTAAAATTTGTGATATTGGATAAAATATAAGCTAATATATAGTAATTTATAAAGTAATATAAAAAACCTCATCATATATTATTAATATGTGTTGAGATAAAGGTAAATTCCAATTACCAATTCATAGAGTTTAGGATAAAGAACAGAAATGTGGTGACCATTTGATACAATATTGTGGCACCTTTCAAATTGGACATTTTGAAGAAGCGTGAGTGTTGTGTGAGAATATTTGTTTCTTTCATCTACTTCAGGAATAGCCCAACACATGTATGAGTATAAATGAGTGTATAGTTTAACTTCTATTAGAAATAGGGAGTGGTCTTTTATGCAAGAGTTTATGTTTCCATTGCAAGACCAACGCTGGGGAGGCGGGCCTTGAATTATCGACGCAAGTGGTGAAGCCGTCGATCACTAGCATTGAGGTGTTCCCTTGAGGTGGTATTAGCGAACGGGCTTCGTTGGAGGGGCCTCGATTCAGAATGCAATGTGCCTAAAGTTGCTTCTATGATGAACTGGCAACCAATGCGGGGTCCATCAAAACCAACAATTGAGACCAATTCAACGTAATTTGCGGCTGATTTGTAAAATGTGTGGGGAATGTGTCTTCTTGCGATGACCTAATATTTTTGTGCACTGCGCGATACATGTTTGAACTCAAGAGCTACACAATAATGGCGTAGAGATTCTCGACGGCAGCAATGAACCCTGCGGCCCACTCCAAATCCTCTTAGGTCTTGTCCACGTTGATGATGGAAATGCTATAGGAGCCACGTTTCCACACATAGCGTGTCTTTTTGGAATTCGCAGCTCCTGGTAGCGAGGTGCACATCGGCAGCGATCATTGTGTGCACATCGTCCAGCAAAGGTGAAATCTCAACCTAGAACTCGAATGGCGTTTTCAACGTCCATGAAAGCCTTCGGTCTCGTGAAGTGCCGTGACCGGTGATCATAAGTCTTCTAAGGGGATGACCGGCTCAATGGGTCATTGTCGACGTGGCAGTTGACAGGAGAAATGGATGTAGTGTGGTCATAACTTCATCTAATCTTGTTCTCTGCATCTCATCAATCTTGTGCATGGTATTGAAAATCGAGATGAGGAAATCTAGAGTTTTTAAGAGAAGAAACTTTATGGATGTTTTGTGAATCATTTGGGTAGACATGAAGAATATGCAAGGTGTGCATGGAGTATCTGGGATTCATGGAGGAGCATGAAATGAAGCAATTGGACATTCTAAAATGAAGTTTTATTTTTATTTTTTAAAAAATTAATTTTAGACTCCTTATATTTAAAAAGTCTCAATGGAGGTAAAAACAATCTAGGGACTCAGTTATTTATAAGACGATTTTGGGATACTATATTGAAATAATTTATAAGATTTATTTACAACCTTCTTTGATTATTGGAATAATACTTAGTATTGAGTAAAGTCAATAAAAATTAAAAACTACTGTATAAAATGTTTTAGAATTCTAAATTACTATGGATTTTCAAGTTAAACCTAAAATTTATCATCCAACACAACTTTGAATTTTGTCTTTATTGTAGTACTTACTTATATTATTTAATTTTAAAATTTGATCCTCTTATAAGAATCATTTTTTATAGATTGGTGGTTGAAAATCCTCACAATTGTTTTTTTTTGTAATGTAAATTTTTCTAATACTTTAAATTATTTATCTACTAGAATCAAATCATCTTAACTACTAATTAAATTTTTATTTATAACTTAGATATTAAATATGGCCTAAGATCTCTACTCACATTATATAAAATATCTAATATAAAGTTTTAGTCTAGAAAAGATAATAATACTACAACAAAGACAAAGTTCAAAGTTCTAAGAAAGCTTATTGATAAATTTTAAAATTAATAATTTATATATATTGTTTAAAAATCTAATTTGACAAAGATTTAGATTTTGTAAAGCTATTAAAAAAAATTAGAAAAAATTTGAATATTGAGATTTTATAAAACTATAGAATATATATGGATAAAATATATTAAGTTTTGGAGTTAAAGTAATAAATATAATAAGAATCATCCTCAAGTAAATAGAAGTAAAAGTAATACTATGCTTAAAATCTTTATTTTACATAATATATTTAAAAAAATTATATTAGATATGGATTTGAAGTAATGGATAATATTCAAAAGATAATTTTTAATTATAAGATTTGTAAAAAAGTTGATTATACCATAAAAGATTTTAGTGGGTTTTAGAATTCAACTATAATTATTTCATAGTATTTAGATGTATGAAATTTTATTATTATTGTGTTAATATGAAGATTTAAAATACTAAAATAATTATAGCTTAATAATTTTTATAAAATTTAATTAATTTAATTAATATGTTAGATGTTATGTGAATTGAAGAAAAGAAGAAAATGAAGAAGATATTTTTGGAATTATTAAATTTTTGAAATATTGGTTAGTTTCACAATTTTTATTATTATAAATTATAGATATTATTAATAGGAAATAATTACGAAAGACATAAATCAAGACAAAAATTCAAAAAGAAATAAAGTCATGTATTATTAAGTAAGAAAGAAAGTAAATAGAAAATATATAGACATAAGATTGAAAATAATTAGAATTGCTATTGCTAAATACAAAGAAGCTTAAAAATCTTGAACTTTAAAAGATTTTAAAACTTCTTTTTATTTGAGTAAGAATGATATCTATTAAAAGAATATTTTACCACGGTGTACATAATAAAATTCTTATATAAATCTAAAAATGATTTTTCATAATAAGCAAATAAGGTATTAATATAGAATAAGTATTAATTTGTTCTAAATAAAGAAATTAAAGATATACAAGAATTTGATTCAATATATTTTAGTAATATAATAATTATTTATGAATATCTAAATAGGAAATTCTATTTACCAAATTATTTTGGTGGTATAAAGTTAGATCTAAAAGTCATTTTATAAATATGAAAAATACCACATAAATATTTATATGCATGTAAGAATATAAATAGAAAAAATGTAGGTAATACATATATATATATA